AATTACACGAATGGTCCCTATGGTTTGGGATAATTTGCGCGTGTAACATCCGGATTCCCGGGTATCTTAAATTATGTATTTTATTGAGTTTTGGAGAGAGACTCGGCGAGTAGGCGCTCAGACTCGCCGAGTAGAGTCGCGAATCTCCATCCGGGTTAATGACCGGACTCGGCGAGTCCATACGTGGACTCGGCGAGTCCACGTTGTTTAATGAAACCCTAATTTCTTGGGTTTGGGACCTATTTAAAGGCCCTTATGGCCTTCAATGGCGGCCACCAGACCATAGAGAGAAACCCTAGAGTGCTTGAGCGTTTTGAGAGAGAAAGGAAACCATTCTTGACCTTGGAAGTGTTGTTTAGCAAGAAGAAGGAGGTACTAGCCAAGAGGAAGCATAGGAGGTTGCTATTCTGTGGATTTGGAGCTAAGATCTTCACATTTGAGGTAGTAATTCGACTCTCCTTCTGTTCTTATGATGATCATATGGATTTAGGGTTTCTTAGACCCTTTGTTGGTTAGATTTGATGTCTAAATAGCCCCTTCTGGTGATAAGGCTTTGGATCTGGATCCATAGAGGTCCAGAGAGCCTTATTCATCAAGCTTTATGAAGAACAATAGAGGTCATGGCCTTGGGTTAAGGTATTTGGGGCTAAATCATCATATATGGTCATATAAATGTTGCTTGTGCATCAAGATCGAGACTTTACGTGATTATAGTGGTTGGGAAGGCCAGATCTATGGATTAGAGGAACAAATCTGACCTCAGGAGGTCATTTGAGTTGGTGCATGACATGAACTCGCCGAGTCCAAGGGCAGACTCGGCGAGTAGGGTTAGGGTTTCCCGTGAATCACTCAGTGAGTGACTTGCCGAGTTGGGGGAATGACTCAGTGAGTCAGAGGGGGAATAGAGGACTCGAGTTCACGACTGAACTCGCCGAGTCACATTTGTGCACTCGGCGAGTCGGGTCAAAAGTTTGACTGTTGATTTTTATTGACTTTTAGGGTTTGGTCAACTTTAGGGTCTTTGAGCTATGAGAGGGGTAAAATAGTCTTTTACCCTTCTGAGAGTACTAAGAGGAGGAATAGTCTAGCCTTGAGAGATGTATTGATTCAGAGTGTTTATTTCATATGATTAGGCGGAGGCTAGACCCGACTTTACAGAGTTCAAGCTTTACCGAGTTACCCGAGGTGAGTCTTCTCACTATACTTTACCTAGAGTGGTAATTAGAGCTATGAGACAGAGTATTGTGTATGCTTTTGCATGATGTGATTTCTATGTGTTATATGCTATGTATGTTACAGAGTTTTTAGAGTTAGGACCGGAAGGTCCACAGAGTTAGGGTCAGAGGACCCATAGAGTTAGGGCCAGAGGGCCCACAAAGTTATGGGACTGGGGGGTCCCACAGAGACACTTTGACCAGAGTGTCAAACAGAGTTATAGCCTCGAGTGGCTAATATGTGTTATGTGTGGTATTTTGGGGAACTCACTAAGCATTTATGCTTACAGTGTTGTGTTATGTGTCTCAGGTACCAGCGGGGATCGCGGGAAGGCGCCGGCTTGATCAGTACACACGCGGGGAGATTTTATATTATGATCTTGGGATATGATGTTATGTGATACAATGGTGTTTTTATAACGATTATGAATGAAAACGTGTTTTATAAAATGTGAAAAATTGTTTTGAAAATTTGGGCGTTACAGCGCGCTTGGTCCCTAACTAATTTTTTTAACTCGGAAGGTCCCTACTGTTTGTTTTATTATGCTCTTGGTCCCTACTGTTTGTTTTTGTTACTCGCTTGGTCCATATCTTACCTAAAAAGAATATTATTTAAATAGAGAAAAATGGTGGGGTAGTTAAAGTGAGGTGAGGGGGTGGGGTTGGGGTGTGTTTATTTAAATAAATTAAAAAATCAAGGGAAAAATAGTCTTTTTTAGGTAAGACAGGGACCAAGCGCGTAACAAAAACAAACAGTAGGGACCTTCCGAGTTAAAAAAATAAGTTAGGGGTCAAACGTGCAAATTACCCTAAACCATAGGGACCATTCGTGTAATTTACTCTACAAAAAAATGAAACAAAGAAAAGTGGGTTATTTAAAATATGAACCTCTTTGAAGGGTGATAAGCTGTCATTAATTGCATGAATTTTATAAGAGTAGCTCGAGTATTTGGTTTAATCGTCTTGTTTTCAAGAATAATGTCAAAAGCAAGAGAGGTAGCCTCTCCAACATCATAAACAACACGTGCAATCTATAAAAAAAATAAGTAATTCTAAGCTTTAATATTACAAATATAATAAAAAATAAAAATCTTATTTTTATAGAAAAATGAAGAATTGATTCAAACCTGTCCAGGGTCTGAGAAGTTTGATTAAAGAAGCTCATCATTTTCATACTTTTCATCTTCCAATTTATATGAACTACGTAAAAAAGTAAAACATGTACTTAAAATTAAAAACTCATTAACATTGTATACACAAAACAATATAGCTTCTTAACGCTTGTATACCTTCCTAATTGTGTATTAATCCATTTGAGTAAACGATCAGAAGTTCTTCCATCTTCAATAGAAACAATTTTACTTTTTCATCTTTCCCATTCCAGCTACCACCCACAAATTTAGAAGGTGGGCCCCATAATAGTGAAGGGTAGTGACTAATAGAGAATTATCGCATAGATTAGTGTTTATCTGTGCTGCCAAACACGGATAAAAAAGGAATTTGTTGCTAATCCATATAATAATTAAGTGACTTAATGAAAATATTAAGAATGAACAAGTGTAACCTTACCTTATTGGCACAATCTACTCGTGTCATTAATATAATCCCTGGATGAACAACATTGGCTCCATTGAAAAGCCTAGCAACCTTTTCATATTGGGGCTGTGAAATTAAAGCTAAAAGATTAAGCAATGCGTCAGAAATATTAAGATTGTGAAGAAAACATATAAGTACCTTATAATTTCTGCAAGCTGGACACCTGCAAAGAGTAATAACAGAAAGAAATTAGGGCTATAAATGGATAACATTTTTTCAAAACACCCCGGTGGAAGATATAGATTGACTCCAGGGGACAAATTGTTTTCATGAAAGGTATAAATTCAAGAAATTTCTAGGTATAAATAGACCAAGTGTACTATGGGTATGGAGGAGAAGAAGTGAATCCTTTTGTAACTAAAAAAATAGAATCTTTATAGCCATTAAACTTTAGATATTTCCTTTTAAGGTTTAGAAATCCTTCAATTTTCTTCTATGGCATGACTGGTCATTTCTGTTCTTAATTTCTTTTCCAGCAACAACATCCTGGTAGGACCTGATTGCTCCATCCTTTCCAAATCGAGGTAATTTGTGGATTTTAGGTAAAAACACTCTACTTTACTCCAGATTGATATGATGAATTCCAGATTTTATTTAGAGAAAAATCACTGGATGAAACAATTGTCCCATAAATTTGTAACGGTATCCATTTGGAATAACAGAGGTTTTGAAATTTTATATTTATGTTTCCAAATACGGAAATCATGAAAAGAAGAAGCAGAGTAGAGCATAACTTCACGTAAAGGAAATCAAAAAACTGACAGCAGAAAATTCCTCAAAAAATAGGGTCAAAAAATAAAAAGAATGTAAGTGATAAAACGTACATCCACGTGCGATGGTATACATTTGAGAGTTCGATTAAACTTGAAGGCCTATAAGAAAACGCAACAGAGGGTCAGGGTTGGTAATCAGGAAGAAGAAAGATGAAGAACATTGGGTGGCTAAACGGAGAAAGTAATTTCTAGGGTTTACGGTTTGATCCAACTTAGAGAGAGATGAATAAATTGAAACCTTAGATCATGAAAAAAAAGGACTGAGGTGATTCAACCGAAGCAGAAAACAAAAGAATATGAGAGCGTTCCGATTTAAACATTACAATGTTTAAGAACTAAAAACAAAAAATGAAATAGAAATCAATAAATTGGAAGCGATGTTAAAGTCTCAAGAGTATTTGGATTATCAGTGGAGATTTGGAGTGTAGAAATATACAGGGGAATGGATGATAATGAAGTAACTCAAACACCATGTTATGGATGAACAGGAAGGTATTCTCCGATTGTTTCTTTTGGGAGTTCTGGTTGCTTCAAACAACGACATGGGGGAGGCGAGCCCTAACCTGAAAAGCGAGACATGCAGCAATAGAAGAAGTAGCGGAACCTGTTGATTGCGGAAACAAAAAAGGCGTTGAATCAGCTCACAGCAGTCCAAGATAACCCTTCACATCAAAACATACCTGAAAGAGAGAGGCGAGAGAGAGAGAGAAGAAAACAAAAAACCAAAATTGAAGCTTACTTGTACATTCATTTGTTGTCGAAGAATAAGGATGCAAAGAAAAAGAGAAGAAAGAGAAGAGAGATAAACCAGATGAAAAGGTGGAGGCGGTGGAGCTTGGTGGTGGTCGATTCAATATTGTAAAGCCTAAATCCAGAGAAAGTTTGTGAGGATTAGGGTTTAGATCAACAGATATGGTGTGATCTTCCTGATTTAATGGGATTATGCTTGATGATCGGTTAAAGATTATATGATTTGTTGATATTATGAGATTGATTGCAATGAGAATTTGAAGAATACACCGAGTTCTACAACATTTGAGCGGAATGACTACATAAAGGGCAAAATAGGAATTTCACATAGATGAAATGAGCGGGAAAAGCAAAGACGGAGGGACTAAGGAGGTGTCATGTGTCATCTAATGTACTGTTTTATTAGAAGAGAAGATTTTAATAACAATGTTTAGTAATAAATCTTTGATTTTTTGAAATTTGGGTAGAAAGTGTAAATTTTGGAGTAACTTTCAAATAAAATTTAATATTTAGGACAGAAATATAAATTTTGGAAGTAGATAACATGTTAACCGCATAAAAGGGGAATAAAAAATATGAAAATGAATACAAGTGCGAGGATTTAATTGAATATGATGTCATAATATATAAACTTTATATTAGATTTTTTTTTTTTGTCTATCTATAAGCGCTTTATTTTCCTTTTCTTTGTAATTAATTTTTAAGGTCAATAATAAAACCCTACTCGTTTTCTCTAGATTACTATCAATTTACAAGAACGATTACGATGACATGATGTATACAAGTTCATGTACAAAACCCTAAAACGAACAAGAACACCCTCTGAAGATATTCTGTTCTGTGAAGACGATATGTGAATAATGACGACTTATAGCTCTGTTCATGAACTTATAAACCCTCTCCAGCTGAGAGTTTACTCGGAGTTCAAAGCTTCAGCTGCTTGTCACTTTCTCCCCTCCTATCTTCGGCCTTATTCACTTTCTACCCAATGTCAAAGCCCATATGCGTCCTATCCAGAGAATCAGCCCACTCAGCACATGTAGCCCAATACGCTTTACAACACAACCAAAAGCTCTCTGCAACCAAAACAAATTAATTTAGTTTAATTTAAATGTAACAAACTTTACAAAGTTAAGATTTAATATTTTGAGATACTTTTCACTTAACAAACCTTTACATACGTTCAGACTTCAGAATATAGAATATTTAGCTTACAGCTGTCCAGAATATAGAATACTTTAGAATTCTTTTCCTTTAGTGGGTCTCCGAATATGATGGATACAAATACTTTCTGGTTAAAAGTCTCTCTTTCTATTCCCACTGTCCTTTAAAGCACTTGATCACCCATCTACCCTCCAACAGTTTCACACCACACATGAAAGTCTCACCTGTGTACATATCACAAAAATGAAATTCCCAACTTAGTTTACGCTTTCAAAGTATGAAAGAACAGATATTTTCGAACTGTATTCACATATTTTTTCTATTTTTAGATAATTAAGTTCCTTTTGTCAAACGAAGTTACCAGTTTTGTTACAGAACCCTAATCACAAAACACCCCTAATGTGTGACAAACCACCTGTCATTTTCTAACCCCAGTGATAGCAGTAATCAATGGATCCACAGCAGAACCAGTTACTTACATTACATATATGGATGGGATACAATTATACAAATACCTAACCTAATTAGATAGGAGCTGATATCTGATTTTGCATAAAACGTATGATATAATTCAATAAATTTCTGATTACTCAAATTATATTGTACAATTAAGCATACCTTTTCTACTGCCACACCCTTATTGTCAAAGATGAGGAGTCGAAACTTGTCTCGGGCAGATCGCTAAGCTTCGGGCATGACCAAATATCAAGACGTTTAAGGAATGGGAGGTGTTTTAAGACCTCTGAAAGTGATTCCACATCCATAAAACCATCGAGTGATAGAGAAGTTAGAGATGATGGAAGAATAAAGGTTGATGAAGAAGTAGTAGTGGCATTCCTCGCTTTTTTTGCCACTGCAAATGAATCCACTTCTGAATTTTCTCCATACAAGTGTAGTTCAACTAATGAGGTTGGAAAATTCTGAAATCCCCACTCTGACATAGGCTTTTTTAAACCTCCAATCGTTAGTTTGCTTAAATTAAGAGGCCATGACCCAGAAGGAAATGAGTAGTCCATATTTGGACAATCATTTATACACAATTCTTTCAACGAGGAGTCGAGCTCGTGTAAGGTCAAAGATGTCATTGAACGACACCAACCTATCACCAACTTCTCAACAGTTTTTGGACAGGTGTAACTCTCTAGTGAGTTACAGTTGAGAAATATCACTTCTTTAAGAGATCGCATGCTAATCGCATTATTCACCTCTTTCTCTCCCAATGAAGCTAATTTTTTACAATTTAGTACCTCCAACTTGTGTACACTAACAGGTTCTCCCAAGTGTATCAGTTCATCACATTCAGCAACATATAGATCTTCAAGTGCCCCGAGATGCTTTAAATCTTCTCCATGTAGTTGAGTAAGTCCTTTCAGATTCAACATTTCCAATGAAACAAGTGATGAAGACACACCAACCATGCTTCTTAACACTGCTTCATAACATTCTTCTATACGTAAAAGCCGAAGTGAGGGTATCAACTCAATTGACACTTGAGCTAGTTTTGGACAACGTCTTATAGAAATCTCATGGAGACGAGGAAATGGTGTAGCAGTTCCATGGTTGTCACCACCACTAAGTAACCATCTTTGCCAACCTGGCATATCATCAAATTTCAAAACTTCAAGTGATGGAAATGCAATGTCAATTGACTCAAAACCCACAGTCTTCACCTCATTCATCCTTGTAACAAAAAGTTTTCGAAGTGACTTTAGATGTCCAAGTGGTGGTAAATGTGTACTTGTACAACCACAAAAAGTAAGCTCTGTTAAATGATCAAATGAGGAATCGCCAACCCAAGTAGGAAATTTTGTTCCCTTGTAGAACAAAATTTTCAGGTTTCTTAACTTGGGACAAGGCCTTAGCTCTTCAACTACTTTATACTCATTCATCTCATTCCGAGAACCATCAAACACATTACTCCATTTCATTTCCAAAACATCAAGACCCTCCTTTTGATGTAAGTTAGCGTCCTTTGCTTGTTTTGGATCTATCACTTTGTCCAACCCCATAATGGAAAGTTCACCTTGAAGATCTGATAGGCTCTTGAGCTCCGATATTTTGAACCCGTTTTCTCCTTCAATAATGACCGTGGGAAGAGTTTGTAAAGTCGTCAACCCACCGATCCCTAACGGCATCTTGTTCAGATTCGGAGTACCACTTATGTCAAGATGTCGCAGGTTTATTAAGTTTGCAAAACTTTCTGGCAATTCAGATAACTGATAACAGTTACGAAGCAACAAGGTCTGTAAATTATAAAGGTGACTCACTTGTTCCGGTAAACATGTGATTGCAGTATCAGAAAAATTGAGGTACCGCAGATGCTTGAGATTGCCAATGGATTCTGGTACCTTTGTGATTTCCTGATTAGCTGCACTTAGCACCCTTAAGAACTGTAGTTTAGGAAGTAATTCAGCAAGAAGATTGTCCAATAAGCCATAACCTTTCCCACCAAGTGATGGAATCAGTAAGAGAGTTTGTAAGCGTGTAGCTCCTTGTAATTCTTTAAGCCTTCTATATGATCCACATCTTGGACTTACAGAAAAGTGACGAAGCTTCTTGAAGGTTTCATTTGTGTTGGACATGTTCATCTCATCATCCAATCTAAAGTAAAACTCTTCTGCGACACTTGTTGCCAAGTCATTGATCAGGGTGTGCATTGTATATCCTAATTCACCAGTCGCTGAATGTTGAATAAAGGACTTTGACTTAAGCACTTGAAAATACTCATGACCCAAAAACTCCATTGATTTGCTGCCTTCTGATTGGGACAGATATCCATGTGCCATCCACATTAGGACTAATTCATTCTTGTTAAACACATAGTTCTTGGGAATTAAGGAGCAGTATGCAAATGATTGCTTCAAATGTGAAGGGAGATCATAGTAGCTTGATCTTAGAGATGCAAGAATCTCTCTTCCAATCTGCACATCCTTCATCTCAGTATTCAACAACATTTTCCACTCATTAACATCAATTTTTGTCCTCAATGACTTCCCAAACATTGTCAAAGCCAAAGGTAATCCACCACATTTCTTCACAAAACCTTCACCAAGCGATTTAAGTGTTGGCCTTTTGTCAAAGTTTTTTTCACCGAGCGCATGTTGAGCAAGTAAAGACAGAGCATCTTCATCTGACAAAACATTAAGATTGTAAGGTTCATCAGAGCCCATTATGCATGCAACCCAGGAATCACGGGTCGTAACTATAATTCTACTTCCAGGTGCCCCTACAAGAAGAGGGCTTAGGAGATGTTCCCACATCTTGTAGTCTTTGTTCCAAACATCGTCCAGAACAAGTAGGAACCTTTTCTTTAAAAGTTTATCTTTTAGGGCAACCTGAAGCATATCAAGATTAGAAAAGCTTTTGTCCTCCCCACCTACAACTACAAAAATAGCCTTGCTAATAGTGAATAGATCAAACTCTTCAGAAACATTGACCCATGCCCTGACTTCAAAGCGATCCTGCACTTTGTAGTCGTTGTACAAAACTTTTGCAAGAGTTGTTTTGCCAATCCCACCCATTCCAACTATCGACACTACGCTCACATTTTCATAACATGCTTCATTCCTCAACAACTTCACGAGCAGTGCCTCTTTATCCCCTTCCCGACCCATGATTTTGTACTCATCAATCAGTGAAGTTTGCTCCCAACGTCTCGTTGTTCTATTTGACCTTTCAACAATCACATTCAACCCCAGATTATTTCTCGCCTCAAGAAGATTATTTAGTTTGGTGCCTATCTCATCAAGCCTAGAACTCATCTGACGACCGTACATAAAGCTTCGATGAGTGAAATTAGTATAAGTTGGGATGAACTTCAGTACCTTACTGGTGCTGACATAAGATTCTTGATTCAACTCGCGTCGTATGGCTTCGGTGGCCAAATCATCGAGTACATCGTCTATGTCGTAAGCCAAATCCTGGAGATTGTTCACCCACAATTGAACAGCTCTCTCTCTTATCTGTTTCTGGCCTGCATCAGCAAGCATAGCTTGGATCAGCAGCAATGACCTCTTCCATTTCTTCAGCTGAGAATCGATTCGTACGGATCGAGCCAGCCTCCTCAACTCACTAGAGGCGAGTTTCTCAAACACCTTAGTTAAGAACGCGCTAACAACGATTTCAGCCATTGGAATTTAGAAAACTAATCCTTTTTTTGTTGAGGGTTTTGATATCGAAAGTTTGACGAATGCAGAGTATTTAAAGGAATGACCTGCCTTTTCGTCTTATACCGTAACTTCATTTTTTTCTTTTTTTTTTAACATTTGACCATTTAACTTGTTAATTATGTTCACATATTATCATTGTCACTTGCTATATAGCAGATGACAATGGTAATATGTGAACATATATAACAAGTTAAATGATCAAATATATAAAAAAAAGAAAGTTGTGTAAATGTGAACAATTTTTTTTTTACAAATTTCTTAAGTTTTTTTTAGAATTTCTTACAATATTTTTATGATATTTTTTCACATTTTTTTTATAAATTTCTTAATTTTTTTTTATAATTTCTTACAACATTTTTATGATATATTTTTTTCTTATAGGTTTTTCTAATACAATGTTTTAAACTTTGCTTATAATTTTTTTTTCAACTTTTTTTATACTTTCATATAATTTTACTACAAGTGCTTTTAAACCAAATATTTTATAAATGTTTTAAAATTCTCTTACAAGCTTTTTACTTGTTTTTGTTTTTTTTTGTTTTTGTTTTTGTTTTTGTTTTGTTTTGTTTTGCTTTGGTTTTTTTTTTTTAATACAATTTTTCTATAACTTTCATATATTTATTTCTAAACTTTTTTTACAATATTTTTAAAGTGTTTTACAGATTTTGTATGACAATTAAATATTTTTTATAACATTTTAAAATACTTTCGTTAAATATTAGTTTAAAACGTTGTATTAAAAAAATTAAAAGTTTATAAACTTCTAAGTAAAAAGCATTAAAAACTTGGAATAATTTTAAAACATTTACATTATATTGATTTTTTTGTTTTTTTTATTTGGTACGTAATATTTTTTTTTTACTATTTTTTAAAAGACCCTCCATACTTATTGTTACATATTTAATTTATTTAATTTTATTGTTAGATGTTATTTACTTTAAAAATATTGTATATGCTTCAAAACAAAAGAAAAAAATATATAAGAGGCTATATAAAACATTTCACAAAACAAAAACATATTTACTAATTAAAAAGTAAAGTTTAAAATTGATAAATATTTAATTAATATTTAGGAAATTATGGATATTTTAAAAATAATGTTTGAAAAAAATAATACAAACAAATATGAAAAATTAAATCGCTATTAAAAGTGGGGAAAATGACTTATTAGGGTAATTAACTTTTCGTTTTGTTCACATTTAGGCAACTTTCTTTTTTTTGTACACATTTAACCATTTAACTTGTTAATTTGTTCACATATTACCATTGTCACCTGCTATAGCCAGTGACAATGACAATATGTGAACACATATAACAAATTAAATGCTCAAATGTGTACAAAAATAAAGAAGTTGCCTAAATATAAACAAAGCGACAAAGATGGTTACCTTTGTAAGTCATTTTCCCAAGGAAAAATGAAAGCGTGTACAACTGTCACGCCACCGGTCCGTGAGGTTTCCAAAAGAGTAATTCTACAGAGACCCAATTGCTTTGAGTATTTCCTATGTGAGGGTAACATTATTTATGTATGGAGCGTTTATATTTAGACAAAAACTGCACAAATGGTCCCTGTGGTTAGCTGAAAATTGCCACTTTGGTCCAAAAAGGTTTGGACTAGCACCAGAAGTCCAAACTTTTCATTTTGTTGCGAGTTTGGTCCAATTTGATTTGAACTTTTTTATAATGACAATTTTGCCCTTGTTTTTTTGCTTTTTCAGTTTTATTTATTTATTTAGATATTTTTCTTATTAAAAGAAAAATAAAAATAAATTAAAAAAGAAAAAACCCTCTCTCTCTCTCTCAATACCTTAAAAAAACTGTCCACCCCCATTATCTTCTGCTTCAACCATTAGTTATTGCAACTTGGATGAATGTGTGGGAAAAATCAAAAGAAAAGAAATCAGACAACAAGTGCCTTGGTTGCAGTCACCCGCATCCATTTTTTGTTCTTTGGAATCGAAGAACACAAAACCCATAACCCTATCTCTTTATCTCACAAAACCCTCTCCATCTTCATGATTTTCAGAAAACGAAAATACCACCACCACCACAAGCTTCTGGCGACTGGTTCTTGTAGAGAGTTCTGACCACCAGCATTTATTGCCTGCTGGATCAATATCGCATCTCCTTTTGCATCATATGCGCCTTCTGGAACATCACTATCTCATCGTTCCCAACCGACCGCCACAAACCCTAGTAGCGATGGATCTAAAAACCCTAGTTTCAGCGGCGGCTTGTGGTTCCAGGTACACAATGGTGGTGTTCTAGATCTACAAAAAGCAGATGTCTTGGTCGGAGAAATAAATAGAGGTGGTGTCGGTGGTTTCTTGTAGGCGAAGGGTGGCTGCAGCGATGAACAGATTAGGCGAAAAGAACATTCCGACAATGGTTGGTCAAGGTTACCAGAAAACAATGGTGAGAGAGATAGGTAGATCAAGAAGATCATGGATGTGGCGTCGTA